TTAAAGCGAGTAAATGACACGAATGTCCTATATCGTTTACTACGTATGACTCGTTTTCTACCACTTTTCCGCATGCGCTTGAACAAAAGAGCAGAGCCCGACACGCCCAACCGTCCGCAGCGAAGTAGAGTATAGAAACCTCTGCTGCTAAATGCAGAAAAACCCCGCCCACAACTGGAATCGCGACAACAAGCGCATAGATTTTGTATTTTTTTATATACCCACTCACCATTTGCACTCGTTGTAGATGTTTATCGGTTCTAGTGTGCAACTGGAAATTCGCCTTCAGGTTTGTGTGATACGGACAAAGATGGCAACGAAATACCCCTCCACTCATCGAAATGTCACCATGCGACGGTCGCGAACGGTCCTGCAATATATACCAGGAAAAATCGTGAAGGCTAAACGAGTTGATTAATTGACTGGCTGCGATTTGTAGAGTAATATTTTCTCTTTTTTTACGCAAGCGAGGTGAAGGTGGTTCAGTGACAAGCAGACCCGGTGACCCGGTGTCTGGTCTCAGATCGCCTCCGCTTGAGCCATCCATACCTTTGTTCCTACCGGCCGTACCTGACTCGAAAAGCATTGAATACCGCTTGAGGATCAAGAATGTCCTTTTTTGAGGTGGTTCACGGTGGCTAAATGAGTATCCCCCAGATAGATACCCATGGATATAGATATGGTAAATGGTTATCTATATGAGGGACGAATCCATTTACCAGCCTCCCCCCCCTCCTGGGCCTGTGAATAGGGATCCCTCCTTGGCCTGTGAATGGGCATCCCCCAAATAGATACCCATTCACCAGCCCAGGATGGTGGAAGATTCGGGCCTGAGCGGGAGCCGATGGTGGATTTGATCATAGGACCGCGTACGTAGTAAGCGAGCCACTAGCCATTACACCACCTCCGCCCCATGCACCAAGTCACACTCCAAATGCCGCTACGATTCCGAATGAAGGTAGATTGCGTGGCGCACCCCAAAAGATGGATCAATGCCGAAGCCCAATTTTTTTAGTACGTACGTTTAGTTTTGTATCTGGAACTTCAAGAATATGCCTTGCATACTCAAACAGCAAGGTGTGGGGAGCTCCGCCCCGTCGCGGGAAAGTTTCCAAAAGCTGTGAATGGATTCCATGCGAGTTTCCGCCTCCGCGATCAATCGACGTGAAGAAGCGCTCCACAATCGCAGAGCAGATATCTTCTTTTTGCGACTTGAGAGTGCGTAACGAAAGTGCCACGGCTCAGCGACGGTAAGCTAGCTCCGCCCCGTGAGCTGGAGCTCCCTTGATCACTTCGTTTTATTAGCGTTATATAGCATGGGG